GAGCCTGTAGCTGTCGCCCCTCGTTCTTGTATGGTTCTCCTGCGCATCATGCCATAGGCGCGTGTCCCAAGTAGCTTACACATCAAGTTGATTGTCCATGCAAGGTTCGGCCAACTCCTCGTTTCCATTGATGCAAATGGGTTGGGTACGTCACAGTTTTTTTTTTTTTGTTCTCTCTCTCTCTCTTTTTTTCCCTCATTCTCTCTGTACTCATATATGTACTAGAACCATAGCGCGCGCTTCGCGAGCAATCAGGTCCTAGCGCAAGCCGGGGGACGGTTGCAAAAGCAAGTGCGGCCGTCGGATCGAGGAGCGGGAGTAATCAGACTCATCATCATCGTCATAAGCATGATCGTCAGCATACTACTCATCGTCGCCAACCTTATCATCGTCATTGTCAACCTTCGTCAACTTCATAATCTTCTTCATTGTCATCATCGTCTTCATCATCTTCTTCGTCATTATCGTCTTCGGCATACTACTCATCATCTTCTTCATTGTCATCATCGTCAACCTTCTCAACATCGGCGTCGCCGTCAGCATCAGCCTCGTCATAATCACCATGTACATGATGATCATGCTCATGATCATCATCATCCTGATCATCATCCTGATCATCATCCTGATCATCATCATGATCATCATCATCATCATCATCATCATCATCATCATCATCATCATGAAAAGATCGTCGCCGCCGCCGTCGCGGTCGCCGTCGCCAGGATGTTCCTGAAGAGGCCTCCGGGAACATCTGGGCGACTGCCCTCGACGGGGAGGGGACGCCAACGACCGCGCGCCTCATCGTCGTCATAATCATGAATAGTTCGATCATCATCAACTTCGTCGTCTTCTTCATCACCACAATAATCACAAGCGCCATCATCATCATCACCATCATTATCACAGTCACGCTAATTGTTGACGTCATCACCTCACCATCACCATCGTCATCATCATCCTCACCTTCATCAACATTCTCATCATCATCACCACCACCACCACCGTCATCACCATCAGCAGCATCAACATCGGCAGCATCATCCCCATCAACGTCGTCGCCATCACCATGACGATCACCGTCGCCATCACAATCACCGTCCTCATCATCCTCATCATCACTGTCATCAACATCATTATCATCATCTTCGTCATCATCTGCGTCATCATCATCCGGATATTACTACTGTTTTTATGATTCGTATTCAGTTTTCTAGTGTATTTGTTATTATTTATACTGTTATTCATATTCGTATCCGTATATTCACATCCTGATAGTTGTTATTAGTTGTCCTATTCTTATCATTGCTGCTCTCTTCATTGGTGTTCTACTTACTATATCATACTTACTACTGTTCTCATTGCTCCCCAGTCAGCGACCGGTCTCAACATCGATCTCATTACCTACTTCTCCATCGATCTCACTATAGTTCGCGCGAGCGATCTCACAATCTATCTCACACCCGATCTCATTGAATCAATGTCATTCTCGGTCTCTATCGATTCAAATATCGATTTCACTATCGATCTCACAATCGATCTCGATATCCATCGCACAAGCTTCCAAATCATCGACTGATAAGGTTTCTCTGGTGTAGTTAATCTTACGATGATCGATCATGTGATCAACGCAAGATTACTATTCGCCTTGCTACTGTTACTAATGTTATTGTTACTTTATTCGCTACTACTATTATTCCTTTTTCCCAACCAACCTGTGTTGATGGGTCCTCGTTTTGAAGAGACGGTCTCCGCGTTCTTCCTCCTCCTCCTCCTCCTCCTCCTCCTCCTCCTCCTCCTCCTCCTCCTCCTCCTCTCCTCTCCTCCTCCTCCCTCCTCCCCCTCTTCCCTGCGCTTCACCCACCCAGTACAGCGCTTCGTAGCCCCATACGGAGCCCCACCGAAGGCCCCAGCGTCACCGTTTACATGCGCACCACCCACTCAGTACAGCGTTTCGTGGCCCCATAGCGAGCTCCACCCAAGGCCCCAGTGCCACCGTCCACATGCGTCCCCCCCACTCAGTACAGCGCTTCGTGGCCCCATAGGGAGCCCCACCCAAGGCCCCAGTGCCACCGTCCACGTGCGTCCCCCCCACTCAGTACAGCGTTTCGTGGCCCCATAGGGAGCTCCACCGAAGGCCCCCGTGCCACCGTCCACATGCGTCCCCCCACTCAATAAAGCGTTTCGTGGCCCCATAGGGAGCTCCACCGAAGGCCCCAGTGCAACCGTCCACCCTGCTTCGCCCCCACTCAGTACAAGCGTTTGTGGCCCATAGGGAGCTTCCACCGATTCCCAGGCAACCGTCCCCCATGCGTCCCCCCCACCTCAGTACACGCTCGTGGCCCCATAGGGAAGCTCCACCGAAGGCCCCCCGCAACCTCTACATGCTCCCCCCCCCACTCAGTACGCTTTTTCGTGGCCCCATAGGGAGCTCCACCGAAGGCGCCAGTGCCACCGTCCACATGCGTTTCCCCCCCCCCACTCAGTGCAGCGCTTCGTGGCCCCATAGGGAGCTCCACCGAAGGCCCCAGTGCCACCGAGCACATGCGTCCCCTCCACTCAGTGCAGCGTTTCGTGGCCCCATAGGAAGCTCCACCGAAGGCCCCAGTGCCACCGTCCACATGCGTACCCCCCACTCAGTACAGCGTTTCGTGGCCCCATAGGGAGCTCCACCGAAGGCCCCAGTGCCACCGTCCACACGCGTCCCCCCCACTCAGTACAGCGTTTCGTGGCCCCATAGGGAGCTCAACCGAAGGCCCCAGTGCCACCGTCCACATGCGCCCCCCCCACGCAGTACAGCGTTTCGTGGCCCCATAAGGGAGCTTCCACCCAAGGCCCCGTGCCACCAGTCCACATGCTTCCCCCCCCGTCTCGTACGCCTTCGTGCCCTATTGAGCTACACCGAAGGCCCCAGTGCCACCGTCCCCATGCTTTACCCCCCAACTCCAGTACAGCGTTTCGTGGCCCCATATAGGGAGCTCCACCGAAGGGCCCCAGTGCCCTATCGTCCCCACTAATGCGTCCCCCCCACTCGTAACGCGTGTCGTGCCCCAAAGTTATCTCCACCGAAGGCCCCATTGACACCGTCCACCCGTCCCCCCCAACTCAGTAACAAGCGTTCGTGGCCCCCATAGTAGCTCAACCGAAGCCGCCAGTGCCGACCGTCCACATGCGCCCTCCCCCCTTCATTACAGGCGTTTCGTGCCCCCTAGAATCCGTTTCACTGTCATGAATTCTTCTGAGGTGTTCCTGTTCTTTGGGCCATCTTGGGCCGCCATGGGGCTCTCTGAGGGCCATCTTGGACCCGTGTTGTGCCGTTTTGGGGCTCTCTTCGACTGCCTGGAAGCCCTTTCGGATGGTTGTGGGGCGATTCTGGAGCCTCCCAGGCGGCTTCGGACGCCCAGAAGACCGCCGTCTTGGAGCGTCGGGAAGCCGAAAAGAGGAGAACCCTAAAATTCACCAAAAACCAACAGAAAATCAATGATTTTTGCCTCGGGGGGCCTTCTTGGGAGTGCTCTTGGAGGCCTCTTTGGGGCCGCCCTGGAGGCCTCTTGGGCCATCTTGAGGTCACGTCGGTCACTCTTGGAGCGCTCTTGTGCTGTCTTGGGGGTCTCTGGGACGTCTCCGATGACCCCCCTGATCGCCCTAAGTGTGCTGGGAAGGCTTGGCAAAACGCCCTGCGAGGCCGGGTGGCCGCTTCGAGGCCCGTCCGGAGGGCCCCAAAGCCCCAGGTCCCGGGAGTCGTTTTTTTGGGGGGGGGGATGGGTTTTCCCCCCGCCCGGGCTTATAAAAATATAGGAAGAGGAAAATATATGTACACATAGATGCATACATGCATGCATGAATGAACGCATGCATGCTTTCATGCATGCATGCATGTATGCATGTGCGTATATATATATATATATATGTATATCGGAGGTGGGGGGTGAGATCGCAGTGAAACGGAGACCCCCCATTCGTGTTCGTGTCGTGCGTGCGGGCGAGGCGAAGCTGCGCGTGATCCTCCTGTTTCTAGGCCGAAGTAGGACCGAAAGTCCGTTTCCCGTCCGCTGGTGGGCGGTGTCCCAGGTGTCCCGGGCGTCCCGGCGCTAAAGCATGTCGCTAATTTCATAATTCATCTGTTTCGGCGCCTGCGGCGGGCTTTCTTATCCAATCCAGCTTATCTTATCCAATCCATCTTGTCCGATCCAACCCATCTTATCTTATCCAACCCATCTTGTCCCATCTTATCTTATCCCACCCAATCCAATCCACCCAACCCAATCCATCAATTCATTTGTTTCTGCGCCTGCGGCGGGCCAATCCAACCCATGGTATCTTATACAATCCATCTCTTCCAATCCAACCCATCTTATCTTATCCAATCCATCTTATCCCATCCAATCCAATCCGCCCAACCCAATCCATCAATTCATTTTTGTCGGCGCCTGCGGCGGGCTTTCTTATCCAATTCAGCTTACCTTATCCAATCCATCTTGTCCAATCCAATCCATCTTATCTTATCCAACCCATATTGTCCATCTTATCTTATCCCACCCAATCCAATCCATCCATCGTGGTGGAGGGAGACTCTGATAGAGAGGGAGGGAGATATAGAGAGAGAGAGGCCGAGAGAGAGAGAGAGACATATTGAAAGAGAGAGAGAGATGAGATCAAGGTGACAGGCTGGAGGTCTGTCAGGGTGGGCATTTGATCTCAATCCCCCCCAACCTCCTTATCGCCCGCAGGGAGGTCGTATAGGTATCTATATACGTACACATGTGCACCTAACCCTTCCTCCCTTCCTCCCTCCCTCATGACATCCTCCGTCCACCCCTCCAACTCCTCCCCCTCCTCCTCCCGCCTCGTCCTTGTCCTCCTCTTCCTCCTGGCGCGTACCCCAGGGGGGCGCACCAAGTTCGATGCCACTCTGCTTGTGTGTCTGGGCCTGTCCTCCTCCTCCTCCTCCTTTCTCCTCCTCCCCACCCCCCCTCCTCTCTCCGCTCTTCTCCCACATCATCCTCCCCGTCGCGTATCCGTCCTCCCTCCACGGCCATGGCGGGGCGCAGGGGGGCCCAAACTCCCGGCGCCCCCGGGCTGTCGTAGGTCCGCAGGTGCCGCCACCGCGAGCAGCCCACTCCCAGCACCCTCTCGACCTCGGACCGCACCCAGGCCTCCTCGAGGGCGGGCGGAGGCGGAGAGGGCACCTCGCCCAGGGAGACTTGCCTGCCCGCAGGCCCGGCGAATGCGCAGAGCGAGAGAGAGAGAGAGAGAGAGCGCAGAGTGAGAGCAGATAGAATACCGAAGAGCAAAGAGGGATACAGACACGAAAGAGAGAGAGAGAGAGTGAGATAGAGAGAGCACAGCGTAGGAGGAAGAGGCCGGTCTTGCAGCTCAGGGGCACCGAGCGGCGGATGAAGCCCGGCAGGAGGCGGGAAGAGGCGAGGCGGGGCGGCCGCGGGGTGGGAGGATCAAGCGGAGGGGCCAGCTCAGACCGCGGAGGTCTTCGCCAGCAGGCCGCGGCCCGTGTGCAACCGAGTCGTAGGCGGGGGGGCTCCTCCCCCTCCTCCTCCTCCTCCTCCTCCTCCTCCTCCTCCTCCTCCTCCCTGCTCCTCCCTGCTCCTCCCTGCTCCTTTCTCCTCCTCCTCCTCCTCCTCCTCCTCCCTGCTCCTTCCTCCTCCTCCTCCTCCTCCTCTTCCTCCTCCTCCTCCTCCTCCTCCTCCCTGCTCCTTCCTCCTCCTCCTCATTCCCTTTCTTCTCCATCCTCTTTCTTATTTCTGCTACTCCTCCTCCTCCTGCTCCTTCTCCTCCTGCTCCTCCCCCTCCTGCTACTTCCCCTCCTGCTCCTGCGCCGGCTCCTCCTCCTCCTCCTCCTCCTCCTCCTCTCCCTTCTTCTTCCTCCTCCTCCTCTCCCTTCTTCTTCCTCCTCCTCCTCTCCCTTGCTCTTCCTCCTCAGTCTTCCTCTCTCTTCCTTCTCCTGCTCCTGCTGCTCTTCCTGCTCCTTTCCTCCGTCTCAACCGAGGGCCCTTTGGGGTGGAACAGTCGTTGTCGTCGTCGTCGTCGTCGTCGTCGTCGTCGTCGTGCGCGTGGTCGTAGTGGTCGTGATCGTGGTCATGGTCGTCGAATCCTCCAGAGGTTCAATTGAAGGAACATCCGGCAAACTCGATTGTCTCACGACGAAAAACGTCTGGAGCCTGAGCTTCAGAATCAAGCCTCGGACCTGCCTCTGGACTTGCCCTGGGGCGGCGCCCTGGGCGGAATTCCAAGGCAGATCCCACCTTTGCCACCAGCGCGACCCAGGAGGCTCAAAACGTAGTGAAAACGCGCAACAACCTCGACCCTCGAACCTTCCTCCCTCCACCCCCCTGCACCAAAACCCCCAGACGTCTTGTTGTTTTCGCAACGTGCGTCGACGCTGGAGGTCTCCACCCCTTCCCCAGGGCTGGTTTCTCATCCTTGGTGTTTGTTTCGGCGGCCCTAGGGGCCAGTGAGGGTGTGCTACTGGAGGCCAGAACATGGCAGGAGACTTGCTGTCGTGACTGCCTCATGACGCGAAGGGAAACTGGGAACCTCGGTCCGACGCGGTCCACCGAATCGGGGATCCTGGAAGCCTCTGGAGACCTCCGGAGTTTGAAAGGCTCCGGAGGCCTCCATCCTCTTTCAGCCCTGCAACCTTTAAGTACAGGAAACCACGATGTGAACACCAGCCGCAGGGAGAGAGAAAGAGAGAGGAGAGAGAGAGAGAGAGAGAGAGAGAGCAAAGCGAGACAGAGTGGGGACACACTCTGGGCAGCCCACCTCACCTCCCCGTGATAGGCATGCTGCGGCCGACGTGCTTCTCGGTGCCGGGGGCGATACCTCCCTTCAGGAGGCTCAGAGGTTCAACCGCGTTCCCCTGGGAGCCTCCCCGGTCCCCGCCCCTCCCCTTCGAGACTCGCGCGCGGCAAGTGTTAGGTCGGGCGTGTCCCCCTACAGGCGGGCTTTCGACGAAAAATTCACAAGAATCAACAAGTACTCCGGAATACCCCACAACATATTCCAAAAGATCGTCCCCAGACTATTTTTTGACGATTCTTGAACTTCCCTCCTGAAGAGGGACAGGCCCGACTTGGGGCACAAGTGGCTGCGAGCGCGGCGTCCTCGGGCAGCTCCCCCATGACGGTGACCGCCGCCAGCTCCTGCCCCTCGGGCGCGTAGGAGCGCTGCACCACCGACGGGAAGCCCACGCTGACCACGCGGCTCCGCTCCGCGGGGTCCTCTGGGAGGCCGCCGCCCCGCGCCCCGCCCCGCGTGAGAAGAGCGGGGCCGGGAGCGGGACGGAGTCGGATCGGGACGGGGCGGGGGTCGCCGAGGCCGGTGGGTCGGGAGGATGCCGCGGGCGCCGCGGCCGTGCCAGAGCAGCTTGGAACGCTCTGAGAGCGGCTTGCCCCGATCCTGTTATACACTATGGTATATACACACGTATACTAGAACCATCGCGCTCGCTTCGCGCGCGCTCGAATTCTAGCTAATTAGGCTAACTCATGTAATCTCATGTTGGTCGCTTCTTGCGTCCAGGGACTCCCTTGGAGGCCCTGCGCAAGCGTCGGAATCGTATAGAAGGGGGAAGTGCGGAAACGTAGAAATCATGAATTTCCTTTACGTGTTCAACGATTTGGGGCCCTCAAAAGCTTCCTGGGTTCTTTTTTTGGAGGTGAGGGGGGTCTGAATTGTAGTATGTTGTGCAGGAGTAGACCGGGGGCCAAACTTGAAAAAAAAAGGAATTGTGTAATTTCCATATTTTTTCCAGTTCCTCGGCGCTGTTCGGCGCTGTTTTTTGTTTGTGCCTCGCGGGTTTTGTTAGCCGGGCCCCTCAGGGGTGTGGGATCTTCCGGACCCCCTGGGGGTTCTGGAGGCCTCCTGGAGGCTTGGAGCCGTCGGAAGGGTGCCTCGGGCTGCGCGGGAGCGTGTTGGGTCGTTCTTTACGTTCTGGGGGCTCCTTGGGGTCGTCTTGGGCTGTCCTTGGGCGTCTTGGGGCCCCCCCGGGAAGCCGGGATGCGCGGCACTGGCAAGATGTCAGGGGATGTGTGGGATCTCCGAGTGGGAGTCCCACTTTGAAAAAAAAGGAATTATGGGAAATCGATCTTTTCTGTTTTTTGTCAAAATCCTCGATCTTCGAGGGTTGGAAGCGGGAAAACGTGAGAAGGCGAAAAACATGAGAAACAAACTTGGAAATCAACGATTTTACACCCTTGGGGCTCTCTCGGGACGGCTCTCGCAGCTCTCTTGGGCTGTTCTTGGAGCCTCGTCGGGGTCTTTTGGGGCCTCTCAAAGATCGGGGGTGTGTTGGGGGCCTCTGGGGGGTCCCAGAGGCCTCTCGGAGAAGTTTCTGGAAGCCTCCTGCTCCCGCTCTTGGGCCCATCTTGGGCCTGTTCTGGCGTGGTCTGGGGCTGTCTTGAGCGCCTCTTCGGCAGTCTTGGAGCCTTCTCGGCCCGTCTTGGGGCCGTCCTGAGGGTCTCTTGGGTGGTCTTGGGGCGGTCTTGGGAGCCTCTTCGGCGTTCTTGGACATTGGAAGCTCGAAACGCGAGAAGCCAAACACATGTGACAAAAACCTATGACAATTTACGATTTTGGCCTCTTCGGGTCGTCCTGGGACGCCTCTCGGACCTCTCTTGGATTCTCTTGGAGGCCACCTGGGGGCCTCGAGGGCCGTCGGAAGGCTGACTTGGGCTGCTTGGGAGCGTCTTGGACCATCCTTTTGCATTCTGGAGGCTCCTGGGAGGCGTCTTGGGCCCCCACCTGGGGCGCTGTGGAGGCTCCCCAGAAAGGCCGGGGGAGCGGTACCGAGAGCGTCCCCGAGATGTGGCGGGGAGGTGTGGGATCCGGGGCCGGGGGGGGGCGGTATCTATTTATATTATACATTCGGGGAGACGTAAAACTCGGGTGCAGAAAACTCGGGGTGGCCTGTCGGGGCCGTCAGGAAAATGACGAGGCCTAGTCTGAAATCTGACGCGAGCTCCCGCTGCAAACATCCCACGAAAACTGGACCGTCAGAATCCAGGGCGGACTCGTCAAACAGAGCAGGCGAACCCAAGTTCTGGCATACTCGAGTCTACGTGTCCCCGATGTGTGCAGTCCTGACCGAGACCCTGGCGTCGCAGCTTTTTCCCCGCTGGGCGCGCTGGCCCAGTTTTTCGGGGCCCGGGACCCCTGCCGATGGACCAGGCCAGCGAGGTGCCTCAGAGAGGTGGGGCCAACGGCTCCGGCCGTGATTTGTGAACGTTTTCTTTTTCGGCGTTTCGACGTTGGGCGGAAGGAGGGGGGGTCTGGCTGCGGACCTCTGCTGAATGCGACTGCTTGCAGCAGTGCGCCCTTTGGGGGAGACCCCACCCCCTCGAAGCAAGCGCCAAAAACAGCCAAGATCTACTCCACGGATGGAGGGAAGGGAGGGTGCGAGGGCCTGCGTCGATCGGCTAAACAATGACTCAGATAAAGATGACCTGTGATTTCTCGCGGTGCTGCACTTGTTTCGCGACGTCGGGTCTCGGGGTGCACCGTCTTCTCCTCGTCTCGGCCTTCCTCGTCGCCACGTCTGGACGCGGCGGAACGAGCCAGGGATGGGCCCTGGGATGTGTCCAGGGCCTGGCTCAGAACGGGTGGTCGGCCAGCGGGGCACAGAGTGCATGTGCCGATCCTGGTGGCCAGGCCCAGCTGGCACCCGGGATCGGCAGACGTGCCCTCCATCGGAAGAGGGCCAGCTGAGACAGCGCTGGCTTTCCCGGCGGGCCCAGATCCGATCAACATCGGCGCCCAGACCCATCTCGGGGTCTATCCTTATGTCGGGCGTGTCCCCCTACAGAGGGATTTTCGACGAAAAATGCAAAGTACCAACAAATACTCCAAAAAGGTAACAACAATACCCAAAAAATAGTCCCCGGACTATTTTCAAACTATTTTTGGGGTATTTTTCCTCGTCGAAAATCCCCCTGTAGGGGGACAGGCCCGACTTGAGTCTACCCTGGCCCGCTCTCCGAGGCGGATCCGGCCGTGGCGACGAGAGGCCTCCCAGGGAGGCCCGGGAGAGGCCGAGAGACACCAGGAAGGGCCGCCGCCGTCTCGACTGGCCCTGCCTCGACTCCATTGAAGGGTCCCCAGGACACACAAAAATAAATACACACAAATAAAATCATTCCCCATAGTTTCCCATTTTTTCTGGCTTTTTGTCTTCCCGCCCACTTCCCATATTTTCCCATATCTTCTGGGGAATCGAGGATTCACTGTGTCTGTGTGTTTTTTTCCCTCCTGATCCGTGTGGATGCTCGCTCTGGGGGGCCTTCCTGGAGCCGCTCGCTCCGCGCGTGCGGCGCCGATGCTGCATCGAACGCCGGGTTGCCGCGGGTCGAAGATGGGCCGAGCTCGGGTCGAGCTCGGGTCGAGCCCGAGTCGAGCCAGTGTCGAACTCGAACCGAGCTCGGGTCGCACAGAACCGCTCGGTGGGCACCAGGAAGGTCCTTCGGGGAAGGACAGAACCCCCCCCTCAGGTAAACGCGGTTTAGGGAAAACGACCTCGGGCCCAAACCTGGGGGGCGCAAGCCTGGAAAAGTGACGGCCGCGGCGCCCTCTCGAGCACCGAAAACGGAGAGTTCACTCATCGACGTGTCGGGGGGGGGGTTCTGTCCACCCTCGAGCCCTCAGAACGAACATCCAGCTCAACGCTCGCAGCTTGGAAGCGAGCGCGCGGGCACCGGCAGCGGGCACCAGGTTCGGGGCTGGCCAGGACGGGCGCAGGCCTGCGGGGGTGGCGCCCTGGCTGCGGGCAAGACTTGTTGTGTCGATATATCCACTGCGTCCTGGACTCTCTGGGAAGGGGCGCCACAAGGCTGAGGCGCAGTGGATATGGATACGAATATGGCCCCCAAAGGGGGCCAGATCTTTACTTCACACATCTCCACTGCGCCTCGGGCTTCTGGGGAAGGGAGCCCGAGACTCCGAGACGCAGTGGGCATGGGTGCACATCTTGCCCGCACTGGCGAAGCGAGGCGCGCCCCCGAGGGGTCCTCCGAGGCCGCGCCGTAGCTCTGCAGGACGATCAGGGGCTCCGCAACGGGCGCAGGCGAGCAGAGCGCGAGGCTTCGAGGAGCCCAAGGGCGTGCGCTGGCGCCAACGAGGAGGATGAGGAGGGAGGATGGAGAAGGAGGAGGAGGAGGAGGAGGAGGAGGGCGAGGAGGAGGAGGAGGAGGCAACCTTAGAAGCAGAAAGAACGGCATGAGCATGAACTTTCGGCGGTCCGCGCGGACTTCTTGGATCTGACCTGAACCCCTCTCCCTGGCGCGCTCCGCGCGCCAGGGGGTCCCAGCACAGATCCAGGAAACCTGCGCTTATGGTTGTGCCGTTTTCTCTTCCCTTCGAGACAGGCGCGAAAAGAGCAAACAAGAGCGTGCAAAGCAGGGGCCCAAGACCGCCCTTCACGAGCGGAGTTCTTGCACGTGGTGCCCCAGAAGCCTGTGGGCCTCGGCCCTTGACCCCGGCAGCAGAAGAGCACGCGCCAACATTTGTGTCCACCGAGGTCCTTCAGTGCTTGGCGGCGCGCACCAGGGGGAGGGGGAGGGGGGAGGGGGAGGGGGGAGGGGGAGGGGGGAGGGGGACGGGGGACGAGGGGGAGGGGGGGAGGGGGAGGGGGAGGGTGGACGGGGGGGAGGGCGGGGACGAGGGGGAGAGGGGGAAGGAAAGGCTGCTTCCTAGAAGGCGCCGGCCCTGCATCGGGGTGCTTCTAAGAAGCCTTCCCCCCTCCCCCTGACCCCTCTGCGCGTGGCCGAAGTGCGACGCTTGCAACGCAACGAGGGCCGGGGCGACTCCCCTGCCATCGGCAGTGCTGACAAGGAGACGAGAGCCCACCCCGAGCCCAGAATCGGTGCTCACGCTCTCCTGTCTTGGCTGGAAGGTCATCTGTGCACCGATCCTGGGCCCGGGATGGCTCTGGCCATGACTGGCGCATGTGCGCTGTTCTCATCGCCCGAGATGAACGGACGAGGAGGAGGATGAGGATGCTGATGATCCTGATGATGATGATGCTGCTGTTGATGGCTATGATGATGATGGCTATGATGATGATGATGATGATGATGATGATGATGATGATGATGATGATGATGATGATGATGATGATGATGATGATGATGATGATGATGCCGATGATGATGATGATTGATGATGGATGATGATGATGAGATGATGATGATGATGATGATGATGATGCTGGTGCTGATGCTGATGATGA